TCTGACTCAGATGCTGTCTTCTGTAAGAAGCACAGAGCCACAAAGCCACTACGTCATAGTGACCTGAAACATAAAGTCAGTAATCTTAAAAGCAGAGACCATTTAAGCTCAATTTACTTTAAGGATCAAAGTTATCCAAGTGTTTTGCTGATTCAAGACTTTAAACTCCAAGAAAGAAAATAAATCAAGCATTCAGGTGTTTGGAGAAGGTGATGATAAACAGAGCTTACAAAAATTAAACTGTTGAGGAAAAGCATGGAGGTCCAAGACCTGGTTAAAAAAAAACAAACAAACAGATTATCAATAGAAAATAGATCTCTTAGTAGTTATCAGAGTTTGAACCACTGATGCACGCTGGCAGAAGCCAGGCCATCATGCTGGGGGAGGTATTATGTTCATTGTCCCTGCATGTCTCAAAGAAGCTGCTGTGTCAGGCAGGGTAGCAGGCTACAGAGTTGGGCCTGAACTGAGTGGCACTTAGGATCTCTCTTGGTACCAAGAAAATCCAGATGATTTTAAAACATTTCTAAGACAGCAGAAACACCCTGTGCTAGCAAATCACAACTTCAGTCCCTGAGTCCTTCAGTGTTTAGAGACCCTTAAAATTTTTAACTGTGTTGTCTTATCTAAGGTTAATGCATGAGATGCCATAGCACTGAATAGTTGAAACTAGTCCTTACTTGGATAAAGCCAGCTATTTTGTATTAACTCTTTAAACAGAACAAAGACCACTTCAAAGAACATACTAGAGAAGTTTGGGGTTTGTTTATTTTTAAGCATGATACTAAGATATTTTTATTTTTTGGCATCTCCATGACACAGCATTGGGGGAGGAGTAGCACAAGAATGTTAAACACCAGAAAGACTTCAAAACTACAGTGTGCTGTTTGATCTGAAACAGAATTAAATCTTAATGTCACAATAAAACTTGCTAACACACTGAAAAACATGTGCAACCTCTTGGCTGTTCTTTACTTGTCACACCTCAGGATTGACTGACGTAATTCATGAAGCAGAACATTTGGAAAAGCTCAGCAGTTTTCTGGGGTGGAAGAACTCTTCTTTTCAGTAAAGAAACATTTCTAACCTTTTACAGCAGTTAAGTCTAAATGTTACCTTTAATTACTCTGGGGCAGCCTCTGTGATAGAGCTTATTAGCTGCAGAAGAATGCAAGTCCAAGGAGGCTCTTTACCATGCATGGTCATCTTGAAAGACCAGGGTGATCAGATGCCTGCTGCAGTGAAGGAAGACTGACACTCCTCACTGAAGCCAGCTTCTTATCTGGGCGATCATGAACAAATACTAAGTAGGCATAGATAGTGTGTTCTGCTGTTGTATAACTCATACAGCTATTCTTGCATACATAGCTGAACAGAAAAAGTAATTTTGAGTCCTTAGGGGCTGAAAACAGCTATCATATTTTGTTATCTTTTCCTACAGTCTTTTCCACTTGTTTTTACAGCTGTCTTTATGTTCTAGAAGGTCTGAAGTTTCACAAGTTTGTATTTTCAGCTTCAATTCCAGAAAAAGATCCTTCCAGAATTTAGCACTATGTGAGAGCTAAAGAGTGGTGTACAGCAGTCTGCCTGACCATTTCAATCTATTTCTACCTATGTGAATTACTCATTTTACTGAGTATTAACGTCGTGTTCTCCATGAGAACTGAAGATATGGCATATTCTTTTCCAAGAAGGCATAAAATCTAAAACAGAGGGGGAGTACAGTGAAATAAAGTGTGAAGGTCTGTGGAAGAAATAAAATCAAAGTATATAGAAAGAAACAGTTTATGGTGTTAAGAGCTGCCTGATTTCTTTCCTTTGTTTAAACAAAGGCACAAATTAGAATATTAAAGAGGCAACAGTGGAAGAAGCAAGCCATGAATAAGTACAGAAACTAAGGATAGACTAGTAATCTGAATTTCCTCACCTATGAGCTCTCTAAATTCAAAAAGCAATGACAATGGGAACTTTGCTTTCAGAATTAGACTTCTGATTTTCTAGCACCTATATTTAGCAAATTATTAGGGACTGAAGCGGCAACCACCAAGTACATTTTCCAGAACTTGGCTAGCAAAAACCAGTTCACTAACGTAAAAAAAACCCCAACCAAAACCACCTTTCATCCCTTTCTCCCTCTAAAGCTTCACCCAACCACAGCTATTTAAGGTCTTTATTCAGATAACCTGAAGCAAGTGCTGTTGTAAAGTAAATAATTTAGTTCTGATAAATATTGATTTGTGAGAATTCCTAGCTAAGAAATCTTGAGCAACTTTGGCAGATGTTTCGATGATGACCTCCCAGGACTCCAGAGCATTGTCAGAAATGCCTGCAGACCCAAAACTCCCCTCTTTGCATAGTTGTGGCTCCAATATACCACTGCAATATGAAGCAAGATGTCTGTCTTCCCAGCACCTTCAGATCTATAACAACACGAGTCAACTATGATTTCAGTTCTCCACAAGCAATACTAATTATCTAATTAGTCAGACCTGGTTTTGAGCAATTATTTGGTAAATTTAGCTTTTTAGGAATATTTAAGGACATAAAAACATTTGGAATAAAGCTTAGAATCAAAATCCTTAAAAGCGCTTGCTTTCAACATAGGTCTTTCATAAACTGACTTAGAAGTGAATTTGAAATCATAGAAAAAGTATTTTTCTAAACAATAAGGAGCCATCAAAATACATGAGAGAGGTCTTACTGAACTTCCCCTTATTGTAGTCCTGATCTTCACTGAGGTATATGAAGATATAGGACACATCCACATCTCCTTGTATGACACTTTAAAACAAGTCTTCTGTAGTATTAGCTCATAATATTTTGCTCAGCAGTGATTTTGTTTAAGTTTAGAGAGAAACATTTAAGACCATGATATAAGTTTCAAAGCATTATACATCTGCCAGGATTTGGGGCATGGGGAGAAGGTAGGCAACAAAGAAATACAAGACTTCTAACAAGTAATGGGTAAACAAGCTGCCATTCTAAAAATCTCCCAACATTTCTTGAAAACTTAATTCAATTTTTACTTCAAATGTTTTCAGTACTTGCTGGGTTTTTAAACAGATGTTTTCATTAAAGTTTAGCATGTTTGAAAGCTGATGTATTTCCAAACTATACTTTGTGCCTTTGATTAAATACACAGTTGTATCTTTATAGGAAGATTCCACTGAAAGAGCTGGAAAAACCAAAACTATCAGGCCTTGACACTGTAAAATGAACTTTGTTGCATAAACTACTCAGCTTATTGAGAAAACATCATTTCAAAATAGGTCTTACAGGAAAAAGTGATCAAGACTGGCTGAATACTAGTCTCATGTACACTTCAATTCAGCAGCAAATCTAAATAGCTAAAACCCCGTAGACATGGGCTGTATCAGCTCTGCTCCATACATACTATTATATGGATTATTTAGAAGATATAACATCTGATCAACAGAAATAATTCTGCCAGTCCAAAATATTGCACCTCACCTCCAAAACTTGAGTAATACAAGCAGCAAGTCTAGCCAAGAAAGGAGCAGGTTTTAAATTTTACATTCTATTTAAGTAAAGAAACCTGCATCAGACCACACAGGCAGTTGGAAGGCAAATCCACTAATATTTCTGGACTAGATTAGCCAACTAATCTCAGTAGTGATTAACACAGAGAAGCAGGTAAGATCTGATCAGCTAACCAGCAAGCCTGCATCTTAACCAAAATTCAGAACAGTATCTACTCCTATCTTGAACAGAACTGGTTATCAACCTTGTCAGGAAGCAAGTCACTCTGTATGGCTTGCCACCCAATTATCTATCGCACAGCTTTGCAAAAAAGCCACATTTTTTTAAAGAATAAAATCCTTTAAGCTAGAAGTTGTCTTACAAAGGTATAAGAGTACAGATGACATCATACAGACTTTTAGCTAAGCAGACATAAACTAGTTAACTCAGTGAATATCCTGCAGCAGATAGTTCAGTTCCAGTATCTTACTAGTATTTTTCCCATGCATTTTTATGTAAAGCCTACTAATACCCAGGTACCAAACTGGACATTTTAGGCAGCATCCAAACCTGTTCAGCTTTTCTTTTGCACAGTACATCAAATGCAGCGTCACTGGTGCAGAATTATTTCCTTTCCTTACATTTTTATTGCTACTTCTGCAAACTGCCTCCTCCTCACTGCTCTTAACAGATCGACTCACACAAACCTCTGAGTCTGGTATCTACTGAAGGCAGTAGGATTATATTCTTACAAGTATAGAGCGTTTTCTGACCATAATGTAAGACTCAGTTGTACATCTACAGAAACTGAGCATCTTCATGTTTTAAACTGTGGCAGTTGCCTCTGGACACAGCAGCTTTGAAAAACGAGCTGTGTGCATGCATTTGCATTACGTGCAAAGCACAGGCAAGAACTGAGGTTTACTAATTTTCAAATCAGTACCTTTACTCTCATGTGAGGATGCAAGAATAATTCCTAGAGTAAAACAGCACTCTCGAACTGGAGCATCTGCAATTGCCATATTAGAACACTATTTCTAACTGCTTATTAGCAGTTTCTTTAGTTAATTCATTTATACAGGTGTTTGCCCACTCTTACTTAGCTTTACGGAACTACTCAGTCTCTAAGGGGAGGCTCAACCAAGCAGATTTACACCAAGATCACTTAGAAACCATTGCACGCTGTTCTCAGGGAACACAGTGGCATAACTTTTTTGCTACCCTGGCTTCCTTGCATTTTAAAAACAAGCCATTTTTCTTTGGCCTCTGCTTCAAGCATCATTTCCTAGCTGTTTGTACTCTGTATCAAGTAGAGTAGACTTCAAGAACTGGGAGCAAAAGGTAAATAAGTTGCTATAGGGTATAGCACTGACAAGTATAAGTAGCCTGCTATACCACTGAAGGTGATACATATCAGTACAAGAACACAAGCAAATCTGACAACTAAATTAGTGCAATTTATCTAGAGACAGCCTTTCTGCAAGAGTTCCCTTCACACACTGAGGAAAGTAAAATCTCACCCGTGTCATTTTAAAAAAGTCTAACGATGGTCTGTTCCATCGTACATCCTCCTCCCGTCTGCGCTTTAGCCGGCTTTTCTTTTCATTCAGAACGCAAGGCTGAGAGCGGCATCTCAACAAGCCCTGACGCCGACTGAGCTCGGGTGTGGAGGTGGGAGTGCTGTTGGCTGAAGGCAAGAGATTTCCCGTCTCGGTGATGTGCTCCTGGGAGAGGGAGAGGCGGCGCCTTGGGTTAAAGTCACAAGGGCCTCCGGAATTCCAGCGGGTACTTGAGCTCGTGCTGCCCTCGCTACTGTCCACAAACCCACTGCTGGCAGAGGAAGGTCTGGGTACTGGTGATGTGTTGAAGCTGGTGATAGTGAAGATGTTATTTAGCGACAGTATGTTTTGTGGCAGACTGATGCTTGTGCTTCTCTGTAAGGTTGCACTTCCATGACTGTTGCAGCGTTGCAAAGTAGCGCTACCGCCGCTATTACACCGTCTCTTTGACACGGGAGTCCAAACCTTTGAATTGCCAGGCTTCCATGGTGACCGACAGCGAGCCAGCTCATCTGGCTCAGAGAGGGACCTGCAATGGCGTTTTGTTGGTGGTGCCAAGGGTTGACCCGAGTTTTCATTAAGGTTTAATTCACTTATCCATCCTGACACCATAGACG